TGATGATGGGAAAATTGCATACATAATTTTTTTCAAAGAAAATGTTTTTTGAAGTGTATAATATGAGGTGTGGCCATATCAAAAACAATGTAATATATATTTTTTAATACTTTAGCTTTTTTCTAAAAGATGTATTTATGTGTGCATACAGAGCTGGGATGCAGGCCAGAGGTGCAGGGGCAGTGAGAGGATTCACCAGAGATAGAATGAGGAGCAGAACAGGCCAACTGATGAAGTACACTGCTGAGGGGAGCAGCAGTTGGGTCAGGAGAGGTCTGCCCAGCCATGGGGGTCACCTCCAGTGCAGGGATAGAACTCATGCTGAAGCAGCTGCGGATAGCTTGACAGTGCTGCACTTTAACCCGCTGTGCCACCAAGGAGGGCCCAATGCAATATTTTAATATGAAATACATTTAGGAAAGATTTTAGTTGTGATAACCTCATGAACCAGATCCTGTCCAAATGCAGTTTAAATCCTTTCACTTATTACCAGGCTGTGTTTAAAATTATGTTCAGTTTTAAAACAAATTGAAACATAAACAGTAATACATAGATATATCTGAATGGAGAATTATAATGTTACAATAGGATCTAATGATATAACATTAATTAATGATACCTCCATATTGATGGCTATTGCTTTTTTTTTAGTTGTAATTTTGTCATAGGTAAGATAATCATGTGTGTGTGTGTGTGTGTGTGTGTGTATATACACATATATATGTATACATATATACACATAAATAATTTTTTAGAATATTAATGAGACAAGGCCCTCCCTGGTGGCACAATGGGTTAAAGTACAGCACTGTGAAGCTAGCAGCAGTTGTTTCAGTGCCAGTTCAATTCCCACCCTGGAAGTGACATGGCCAGGGAAGTGACCCTCATGACACAGTAGACCTCTCCTGACCTGCTCACTGTCCCCCTCACCAGTGTCCTTCGTATACCTGTCTGTTCTGCTCCCCACTTTGTCTCTGGTAAATCCTCTCATAGCTCCTGCAACTCAGGCCTGTACCCCAGTTCTGTATGCATAAATAATAAATCTTAAAAAAAAAAAAAGAATAATGAGACCTAATATAGGACTTAAGAAAATACTGAGTAGTGATTAGCTTTAATATATACATTGGACTTTTCCTTTGATTTGTAAATTCTGTGTGGGTTTGTATGCTGTGATAGACTTAGGAGCAGCACTAAGAGACTAAAGAGAATCAGGCTCTGAAGTTTGTGCACTAGAGTGGCAATACATATACAGATGAGATTACATTGTGATTTAGGTCTTATCTTCATAATGTAAATGTAAAGCTAAGATAACTCAGTTTTCCAGGTCATGCAGTGGGGTTTACCTGCAAACACTTTTTTTTTTTTGTAAGATTTATCTATTTATGCACACGGAACTGGGGTCCAGGCCAGAAGTGCAGGAGTGGTGAGAGGACCCACCGGAGACAGAATGGGGAGAAGAACAGGCAGACCTACAAAGTACATTGCTGAGCAGAGCAGCGGGTGGGTCAGGAGAGGCCTGCAGCGCCATGTGGATCACCTCCGGGTCGGGGGTTGAACCCATGCTAAAGTGGTCTTTGAACCCATGCTAAAGCGGTCTTAGCTTCCCAGTTCTGTACCCTAACCCACCAGGAAGGGCCCACCATCAGACACTTTTCACACATCACAGGCAGACCTCCAACAGCCTTCAAATGATCTCTGCAGTGGCTCGAATCCCCATGTGTATTAACATACAAGACAGCTCTACCTATACATCTGAGTATATTATTCAGGGGCCAATAATTTCCAAATATCTATTCCCAGGTAGTATAATTTGACTGATTTTATTTTTTTATTCAGAGATAAAAACATCTTTCTCTAAGTTAATTAAGGAAAATAGACTTGTTCCAATTTTGAAATAATCAGTTTTTCATTAAATTAAATAAAAAGAAAAAAATAGTTTTAATGGAATCAACATTCTTCTTAAATATCAGGGAACCTCTAGATGTACAGCACTATTCCCAGTGTAGAATTCTTAGAAAACACATAGACAGGTATATCCTTACAGAACAGAACCCCGTAAATTAATTTAGTTTACTCTTCCACTGTACTCAGGTGACTTTCTCACTTGGAGAAAGCAAAATGCTATTTATATTTTCTTGGCAACCGTGGATATTACGTGGATCAGTTATCGATGCTACATTTTACAGCTACATAAAAGACAACATGGATTTCATGATGCATAAAGCAGTTTATTCCTCATTTTCCATCATGTAATTTTTTACTAAATAGATTTGCATGAAGAGTCACCCTATATTTAAAATACAAATGAAAATATCACACACCATTACACAATTTTTTTTCAAGATTTTTTTTTTTTGTCAAAATCAATCACCTGAAGAAGACAGAACATTGTTTAGAGTAAAATTGCACCTTAATTGTCAATATCGAATGTTGGAAAAAAAAGCTATGTGGCAGGAATAGAGGAAGCAGGTATATTTTGAAAATAAAGTCTTCCTATTCATAAAAAATGTAGACAGAAAAAAAAAATACTGCCCCTCCTCATAAGTGAATTATGTAGGAAATGGTTAGAGCATCCTCATCCTATAAAGAAAGTCCATATATTCTAACCAAAGTAAATATCAATAAATCAGAAAATAATTTTCTCATAAACATTAAGAAATAAACAGTATTGTGCAAAGAAATCCAAGTAAATTGTTAGATATAGCAACTGAAATGTTTTTTTTATTTTAAAATCAACTCATTATCATTTTAAATTATTTCATTACCATTATTAAAGTAACAATTAGTATAAAGTCAAATCTAAAATCTAATTTTCAGAAATATGTTAGAATTCCATGTGCACATCTTGGAATTCCTATTATAAAGATAAAACATTTAGTTTTTAATGTTAATTCGTTGGAAAGTTTTCAGTATCTATTTCGAAGCTATCTATCACATATAAAAGCTTGACTTTTACAAGCCATTATAATATATGCTCAATACCAAATGATGCAGCCAAAGAAAGTATGGTTAAAGGTTACAGAAGCTGGAATAACCTCAGTGATCATAGGGACATGCATGAAATCTCTAGATAAGATATGTAGTAAGATATGTTACTTAAAAATATATTTTAAGAATAAAGAAAACTAAGGCTTAAACAATAACAGTTACTCATCTTTTCCCCTATTAACTTTAAAAGATAGAAAATTGTTTTTATCTATGCCTTTATGTGTTGTACAAATGGAGTATTAACTTTGTTACAATAGTCTACCAATGAGATGTCAGAAGTATAATCTGTCCTCCTTAGTGTCAATGAAAATAGTCTTCTGATGTTGTTATTTATCTCTGGAAGAAAGGAGAAGCACCCTGGTAAGAACATCTGAATGGTAGAGTTATAGATTCACATAATATAATAAAAGAAAAGGAGATTAATACTGATGTCCCAAAGTTAAGAAAAACTTAGGGAGGGCCTAGAATATTAGGTCAAGGAAATTGCAAATCTTATAAACATTGGGGAAGGTTGGAAGTTTGTGAAATAAATGGTGAGCATAATGCACATTAAGTCATAAGAATACAAATTCTGGGATAAGTCTCAGCGCTATCACTACCACAGCCCCTGGCAGGCAGCTAACCCACATGGAGCAGCAGATCTCTCCTGTCTTACCTGTTGCTCCCTTAGAAGTGCATTTTAGTAAACCTGCCTGTACTGCTCTCCACTCTGCTTCTCATAAATCTTCTCATCTGTGGCACTTCTGGCTTACACTGCAGTTCTTCTATGTAAAATTAAGTAAAAGCTTTATAAAAATGAAGACAAAATTTGTACTTGTGTGCATATTGTAAATAAAAGAGAAACAGCAAAACACCAGTGAGTATATGAGAATTACCCTAAAGTGGATGAAATAAACAGGACAGCTAAGGGATTTGGGGGGCAAACTGGAGTACAGGGAACACTTTGATAGACATTGCAAGGAATAAAGGCATAAACTCTGAACTACTCCTCATATAGAATTGAAAATAACTATTGCTGAAAATAGAGATCATATATTACAGAAAAATCTGGAATTTTAGTCTTTGTTTGTACTACCTAAGCAATCTCAACTTTCCCAACATAGTTTACTTCTTTTGCCAAGGATTTTCTCTCTCACTTGTAAAGTCAAGAGATTTACAGAGAGTATTTCCAAAGAAATCAACAACAAAAAGCAAGCAGAAAAAAATCTTCAATATGTAGAGACTGATCAACCCACTGTGAAATGACTGCTTGATTAGTAACAAAATGAAATAGGAAGTAATAATAAAACACCAAAATGGTGACACAACCTACAAGAACCTATGGATATATTGAAAACAATCATTATCAATCATTGCTTATTGATGTAAGCATTATAAGCTTACATCAATAAGCAATGAAGATGCAGATATTCTTATCATTCATCATAAAGAACAAAAGAAGAACAATCAAAGCCAAAATCCAGGAGAAGGAAGGCAATAATAAAAGTTAGAGCAAAAATAAAGGAAATATAAATGGAAAAAAAAATAGTACAAAAGATCAGTGACAGCAAATGCTACTATTCTAAAGAAAAAAAAACTATAAAATAGTCAAAACTTTATCTAGATACACAAAGAAATAACAACAGAAAAATAATAATAAAACTTTTTTTTCTTAAAGCCTTTACTTTGAGACATGATGGAAGAAAATAGACACACATGGGAAAGACATGATTTACAGTTGAAATACAGTCTAACCAGAATGCTTTAGAGCCTATTAAGGTCAGGGTGTGCAGAGGGTACAGGCCAGAGGCTCAGGGGTGGTGAGAGGCTTCACCAAAGACAGAGTGAAGAGCAGAACAGGCAGATCGACGAAGTACACTGCTGAGAGGAGCAGCGGGCGGGTCAGGAGAGGTCTGCCACACCATGTGGTCACCTCCGGGGCAGGCGGGAATCGAACTCATGCGGAAGTGGTTTCAGCTTCTTAGTGCAGTGCTTTAACCCGCTGCGCCACCAGGGAGGGCCCGAAAGGCAATTTTAATATTCCTCTCCTTCTTCCTCACCCTCGCCTTCCACAGAATCCACACCCACCTCCTCATAATCCTTCTCCGGGACAACCATGTCCTCTCTGGCCTCAGAAAACTCCCCTTCCTCCATGCCCTCTCTTATGTACCAGTGGACAAAGGCCCGCTTAGCTTACATCAGGTCAAACTTGTGGTGCAGGCGGGCCCAGGCATCAGCGATGGTTGTGGAGTTGCTTAGCATGCACACGGCCCGCTGCACCTTGGCCAGGTCTCCCCTAGGGACCACCGTGGGAGGCTGGTAGTTGATGCCCACTTTGAAACCAGTAGGGCACTAGTCCACAAACTGGATGCTGCTCTTGGTCTTAATTGTGGCAATGGCAGCACTGACGTCTTTGGGAACCACAACGCCACGGTACAATAGGCAGCAAGCCATGTATTTACCATGGAGAGGGTCACACTTCACCATCTGGTTGGCCGGCTCAAAGCAAGCATTGGTGATCTCTGCCACAGAAAGCTGTTCGTGGTAGACTTTCTCAGCAGAGATGATGGGGGCATACGTTGCCAGAGGGAAGTGGATACCGGGGTAGGGTACCAGGTTTGTCTGGAATTCTGTCAGAATCAGAAACAAAGAAGAGAAGTTACAGCAGACATCTCTGAAAAGATGTTGATGAAGATGTGGAAAAAAATGTAATGTGTGTACAATACTGATTGTGATACAGACTTCCCCAGCCCATATCAAAGCAGAATAGATGGTTCTCAAAATATTAAAAATATTTCTACCATATTATCCAGAAATTCCACCTCTATGTATCTACCTAAAGAATGAAAAAACTAAGCAAAGAGACAGCTGACTACTATAGACCTGTAACACCATTTATAATAGTGAAATCATGGAAACAGCCTATCTACACAAGGATGAGTATAATGGACAACTACAAAGCTATTAAAATTAAGTGCGGGTTGCATAGAAAATGCTAGGTGAAATAAGTCAGAACGAGAAAGACCAACGTAGAATGTTTTCATTAAATACAGGATATGGAATATAGAAGAAAAAGTAGATCACACAAAACCAAACCAACCTTATAAACCAGACTGTAGAACTTGGGTTATCATAGATTTTGGGCAAGGACGGAAAGAAAATTGGAGGGGACACCAAAGTAATGTACAAATCCAATGCATCTTTATCAAATTTACTATAATGAAAGACAATGGGTGCTGTGGGTATGGGTGCGGTATGGTAACATATTTTGAAGGGAAGTGCTCCTACCCTTTTGAGTAATATAGAGAGGTATAAATCAACTTAACCTCAATAATGATGATAAAAATATTTGTGAAATACCAATAGATTTGAGGTTCAGTGAAGTAACTGTGAGAAGTTAACGCAAATTTCTAAATTATTTAAAAAAAATATGCATACAAGATCTGGAGTACAGACCAGAGGTGTGAGGGGTGAGAGGATTCACTATAGTGGGGAGCAGAACAGGCACATCTACTGACATACTCTGCTGAGTAAGGCAGTAAGTGAGTCAGGAGAGGTCTGCTGCACCATGCGGATCAGCACCCTGGCCTGGGATCTAACTCATAGTGCGGTGGCTGCTGACAACTTCACAGTGCTGCACCAACAGCAAGGTATTTTTATTTCTAAAAAATAAAAAATAGATAATGAATCCCTCGAGGAGAAAAAAAAATACTATTTTCATTTCCCTAAATTTTTGTGAACACATGGAGACGATTTATTACTTGACTATGAATCACTTAAGTGCATAATATTGGATATCTTGGCAGTTGCATGGTTCGATGTTTCTGTAGTAGTCTGCTTAATCTACCATCACAAATAATACAGGCCTATTAGCTTAAGTGACAGAAATTAATTTGTTCATAGCTCTTGAAGCTAAAACTCCAAAATCAAAGTGTAGAACTGCTTAATTTCTGCTAGAGACTCATTTTTGGAAGGCTGCTTCTGAAACTGTTCTCTCAGAACTTTCATTTATTTCATGTGTGCACAGGAAGAGGGTAAGTTTTTGTTATCTCTCTTATAAAAACATTGACCTTATTGAAGGGGCTCCAAACTCATTTATAACCTCAATTAACCTTAATCACTTCCTAGAAGCCACACCCCAAATACAACTACACTAATACAACTACACTAGAGTTTAAGACTTCACCATATGAATTGGTTTTGAGGGGACACAAACATTGTCATTTACAGTTTCTATCATTGTATCTAGAGCTTAAGTTCCTTGCCCATACCAAGCAAGAAAATTAAGTTCTCTATCAATAATGTAGGAAATATAAAAGCATAAACTTTACAAGATATTAAAAAAAACTCAAAATGCATCAGACATAAAGACAAGACACAAAACTACAAAATACAGAGAAGAAAATATAGCCGTAAATATTGTTCACATTCAGATAAGCAACTTTTTCATTTATATTACACCAAAAATGCAAACAGCCAAAAAATATGTTATCAAAATTTATACTTTGTGTTTCAAAAAACAGTATAAGAAAGAGAAAAGACCCACAGCAGTGAATCTATCTGAAGAACCCTTGTAATTCAAATACAAAATGACAAATAACCCATATTTTTGATAATCAAATAATTTGAATAGCATTTACTTCAAGGAAGATAAGTTGTCAATAGCAAAAAAAACATATACTCAGTATTGTTAGTTATTAGGTAAATGCAGATCAAAACCCCAATGAGTTCCTCCCTGGTGGCCTAGGGATTAAGTCTAGGCACTAGCACTGCAATGGCCTGTCTAACCCACTGCACCCCTTATCAGTGTAATTCAGTAAATCCACCTGTTCTGTTCCTCACTCTATCTCTGGTGAATCCTCTCATCCCTGCACTTCTGGCCTATACCTCAGTTCTTCTATGCAAAATAAATAAATATAAAAAGTATGAGATCTCACTTTAAACTCACTAGGATGGCCACATCAGCTAGTAGTGAGAATGTTGACAAGTTGGAGACCTCAGTTTGTCAGTTACTTAAAATATTAAAAATATTATTTCCATATGACCAAGAAATTCTACATAGATATGTAGCAAAGATAATGGAAAACATGTCCATCAAAACTTGTGCATCAATGTTGAATGCATTATTTCTAACATAGGAACACATTCCCATAATATGGAATAAAGCACTTATATATGTTACACTATAATCACTATAAAGATCTTGCTCAGTGGGAAAAAAAAAAAAAAGACACAAAAGCAGCACAGATGATGGCTTTACATTTATATAAAGAGTCCAAAACACACAAATATATAATGTCACAAAGTAGATTAGTGGCTGCCAAAGTCTGGAAATATGTGTGTGTGGTGGAGGTGGGAGGGAGGGGGAGGGTATGAGGTGATTGCTAAAGGTTAGAGAGTTATAAATATTCTGGAATTAGTGGTAGTTAATGGCTGTTCAACCATGTAAATAAAAAAATAAATTTAATTATGACCTTTAGAAAGGTAAATATGGTATTTGAATTAAAGAACAAAGAGCAATAAAGATTTTATGAGAGAAATAGGAAAGCAAAACAAATACATTTCCAGATAAACAAAATAAAAGCACAATGGAAAAATATTAACAGAAAAGAAATTTCTAAGCAATACCTCAAGCTATTTTCTTGAAGTATTTTTTTCCGTCAATATGAATGAAAACGCCAAGTTTTTTCATACCTGTCCCATTTTCCTATACAAAATGTAAATTGTATAATAAGAAAGACTAATGACTACAAATTGCAATACCTACAAATTGTAATCACTATGGATGTTAAAGCCTAAAATAGAGTGTATTGTAAGGAAAATTAAATGCACGGGTACAATCCTTACTTACAATGTATGCCTTTTAAATATAAGACTTTTCAATTATATTTATTGTGTTATAATTGGCTATAGAGAATTAATTTATGATTTTTGCATAAGGTAAAGGACAAAAATCCCGGAATTTCATTCAAAATGATTTCTGGTCCCTCCCTGGAGACTCAGTGGGTTATAGTGTAGCACTTATGAAGCTCTCCGCAGCTATTGCAGCAGGAGTTTGATCCCCAGGCAGGGAGCTGACTCACATACCACAGCTGCTCTCCCTTCAGCAGTGTATTTCCGTCAATCTACCTGTTCTGCCTTCACACTGTCTCAGGTGACCCTCTCCCAAACCTTTGGTCTGTACACCAATACTCATATGTATAAACAAACAAACAAACAGATAAATAAATTGAAACTTTAAAATAGTCTGCTTACAATCTGTCTCATAATTTCATGTAATCCTTGCTAATTTGTTCAATAAATTAAAATTGAATTAATTTTACTGTTTGACTTCTCATTGCACTTAGAAAAAATAAACACTAGCAACGTTCCATAAAGTCTCTGCAACTTGATTTAATTTTATTTCTGTCTCAGATTCACCTTTCATGCACCACTCTTCACTTTGCTAGCTTTTTCTCAGTCAAAGTTCTTATTTCACTTAAAAGATTCTCATGAAGTGTTTGGAGGCTTTGGCATTATCTAGGTGAGTCAACCCATGAAACAAAGCAATCTGTAATATTTTTTTCCTTCAAAGAAAGTGAAACTATTATCCTAATTCCTTAATCCAAGAATTTGTTTACCTTCTTGACTCCCTGCTCCTTTATACTTCTTGGAAGTTTGTTCAGCGAGATTCTAAATTCAGTTGCTCAAAGGTTTGAACAGAATAAAACTATATAGAAATATCTCTGTAGAGAACAAGGTGAGGCATTAGACAATAAGAAATTTGACAAGCTGTTGACATCTTGGAGGCATATAAAATAGGTCCAGAAAATATCCACATCAGTATGTAATACTGCATGCTTCTTATTTAGAGAATAGATGAAATATCTACACCAAAAAATCTTTTGTGAGAAGGAAATGAGTTATGCATTTGTCATGTTCATTAAGAAGAAAAGATCATCATGAAATGGACACTCATAGGTTCTAGTTCTAGTTCTTTTGATAACTAGTTCTAGTTCTTTTGATAACTTCATGGCACCCATGTTCATAATCACACACAAACAAACTGCAGACTACACTTGTGGAAACCACAGAATGTCCTATTTAATATGCACCACAATAAATCCTGAGAGTGAACCAATTCCCTGATCATAAAATACTTTAAAAGATATTATGGTTTAATAATTGCTCTTCAATGGTGAAATTGTTCCCAAGGCTACATCCTTCACAGACTCCTCTGGGTGACCCATAAGTATCATAAATTGAATAATGAAATGAAAATAATTTCTTTAAGCATCCCACCCCTTCCTCTCTATTCTTGTTTATCAGTCAGATAAGTGTTAAATGATGAAAATAAGTATTGTGAAGTTAAATTAAATATATTAGATTCTGACTTTGGGTATCACAGATGGAAATAATTTAACACACCTCCTAAAGACTGAAGATATCTTAGAACACTGTTGAATCTTTTTAAGTAGGAAAAAATAAAGTAAAGCCTAAATGTAAGATTTATTAAAATATAAACTTTTGAGGGGCCCTCACTGGTGGCACAACAGGTTAAAGCACAGCACTAAAGTGCAAAAGCCATTTCAGCATTAGTGCGATCCCCCACGACAGGGAGGTGACCCACATGACGTGGCAGACCTCTCCTGACCCCGGCTGCTCCCCTCAGCAGTGTACTTCGATGATCTGTTTGTTCTGCTCCCCGCTCTGACTATGGTGAATCCTCTCACAGCCCCAGAGTCTCTGGCTTGTTCCCCAGTTCTGTATGCATAAATAAATAAGTCTTTAAGTATATATAAACTTTTTTTTCCCATAATACTGTACTTATAGATCATTAAATGTTAAGAAAAAAAAAAGTCCATCACTATTAGATGATACTATATGTACCTTTAATTGTGAATCATTAAAAATTCCAAATGTGAAATAATTTTTACTTCTAAAGACGTTTTCAGTATGCCAGTTACTTTACTTTTCTCATGCCCACAACATGCAGAGCTATGCACAGTAGTAAGGTAACTACAATGTTGATTTCATAAATATACATTTATTCACCCCATCTTTTATAATTTGTTTGCTTTCTGAAGAACTAGTGAAGAATTATTACAGATATAAGCATGTAGTAAATACATGTGGCACATTTATATTTTTGAATCCAAGCTAATTTTTGCAAAATGCCTCCTTTTGTCTTTACAGCATGGAATGTTCAAGTTTTATCATGAGAAATATAATTTTGTTCTTTATAAGTCCTTATAAAACAAAACTAGCAGCTTTTATATTTTTTCCTACATTACATTATCTTTTCATAAAATCCACATCTAATTAATGGACTGCATCTTCACAACTGGGGTAGCTCACACTTACCACTGTAGCTGAGCTCACCTTATAAAATGCACCCTGCCCTCTTTGTGCATACACCCAGCATTCTGCATTTATTTATCCAGCATGTGTCATCTCCAGGGTGTGTCAGGCACTGCTCCAGATTTTAGAAAACAAAATATTTTCTCTTTGGACAATTTACTTTCTAGATAATGGCAGTGAGACAACAAGAAATACTTATAATAAATAATGGAATTATAAAACATTGGCCCTCCCTGGTGGCGCAGCCGGTTAAAGCACAGCACTGAGAATCTAAAGCAGCTTCCGCATGAGTTCAATTCCCACTTGGCCCGGAGGTGACCACATGGTGTGGCAGACCTCTTCTGACTCACCTGCTGCTCCCCTCAGCAGTGTACTTCGTCGATCTGCCTATTCTGTTCCCCACTCTGTCTCTGGTGAAGCCTCTCACCGCCCCTGAGCCTCTGGCCTGTACCCCAGTTCTGTATGCACAATAAATAAATCTTTAAAAAAAAATCTGCAGAAAAATAAATATAAGTAGAGCACATTAAGTAGGTTTACAAATTTGGGATTGTAAATACAGTGGTATGGACCTCCCTGGTGGCATAGGACTTGAAATCATAGTGTTATCAAGCTACAACGAGCCTCTACAGCATGAGTTCAATGCCCAGCCAGGGAACCAACCAGATATGACACAGCAGACCTCTCCTGTCTAACCCATCGCTCCCTAATTTTGCTCCCCACTCTCTTTCTGGTGAATCTTCTTATCCCCACCTCTGGTCTACATCCCAGTTCTTGTATTAATAAATAAAAATAAATCTTTTTAAAAATAAATATATACTATGGTAAAGTATACCTCATTGAACAAACAGTTATTTGGGTGAAAAATAATTCTAATAGAAGAGCTAGATACAGATTTTAAGATGGGCTTAGTGTGTTTCAAGCAAGTCTTGCAGACTATCCTGACTGCAAAGTTGAGAACCAGAAAAAGAAAAGTAGGAGAAGAAATCTGTTGTTTGAGCCCAATCACCAAACACTTAGAAGATTCAAGGATTTTGGATTTTACTGACAGGAAATTCATGATCATTATATATTTTGGCAGGGGAGTGATATGAATTTATATTTTAAAATAGTCACATGTTGCCCTCTCTGGTGGCGTAGTGGGATAAAGCACAGCACTAAGAAGCTAAAGCCATTTCCACATGAGTTCGATTCCCGCCTGTCCAAGAGGTGACCACATGGCATGGCAGACCTTTCCTGACCCGCCCGCTGCTCCCCTCAGCAGTGTACTTCTTCGATCTGCCTGTTCTGCTCCCCACTCTGTCCTCTGTCTCTGGTGAAGCCTCTCACCGTCCCTAAGCCTCTGGCCTGTATCCCAGTTCTGTATGCACAAATAAATAAATAAATCTTAAAAAAAAAATAGTCACATCTTAATTCAGGCTACTAGAACACAATACTGTTGATTAGGTGGCTTAAACAACAAATACTTTATTCTTCACAGTTCTGGAGGCTACAAACCCAGCGTTAGTGTCTGGTGAAATCTGGCTCTGTGGCATGTAAACATCTACTTTCTTGTTGTATCCTCCCATTGTAGAAAGAGAGAGATGATCTGGTGTTTTCCTCTTATAATGACACTGATTCCAATATAGGAGGTTCTAACACCTTGACCTCATCTAAACTAACGATGGCAGGTCCCCAAGTAATATTGCTTCTTTCTATATCATTTCTTATAACAATGCTGAAAAAGAAGCAACCCTGGCCAATAGTCAATCAAATGACATTTGAGGAACTGCTTTCATTACACATTATTTTGCTTAAAGTGAATTTCCAGAATCTACCAATGACAGTAAGTAAGGACTTACTGTACTTCCAAAAGGCGCACCTCCAAGTGCCATTACATCAGCAATTATGGCTTCACAATGTGACTTGGAGTGCAGGAGTACAGACATGTGTCCTGCCAGTATGAGATTATGTTGGTTTCTCTGTAAAAATGTCAAAGATATACCTGCGAAGAAAAGCAAGGCTATTACATTTCTTAAGGTGTGAAGTAATGTTGTTTCTACTAAGTAATAGAAGAGATATGCACTCTGGTCAAATTCCCGAAGCATTTTACTGATAAGAAAAAATAGGGTATCTTGACAGTTCATCACGGAATATGCATTGTTACAAAGTCATAAATATGAGTAACTGGAAAAGTGGAATTGCAATTTCTGAGAAAAGGGAGGCTCTATAAACAACAAATATATTTTATTTATGGGACTTACATATATATCTTATTCCATTTTGAGTTAATTTTGGTGTATGAGGTAGTGTTGTATTTCCATTATTTTCCACATGTCTGTTCAGTTTTAGCAGCATCATTTCTTAAATAAACTTTCCTTTACCTACTGTATGCTCTCATTTGCTTTGCCTTGACTGTTCAGACAAGTGTATGTTTGTTTCTAGTTTCTCAATTACAGCATTGCCCTGCATATCTACTTTTTATTTTATTTTAATACCAATAACACACCATATTGAATACACTAGCTTTTTAGTATTTGAAAACTGGCAGTATTATACTCCATTCTCCTTTGCTCTTGTCAGGATTACTTTGGCCATTGTGGTTCTATCATATATCAGCAATATTTACTCTCTTTCTTTGAATAATAAACTAAAAATTTTTATAGGAATCTGTATTTAGTTAATTCTACATGTGTAAGCATTACATCATGGTCACCACCAAAAGATTAGCTTGTAACCATCTCCACACACTCCAATCTCTTTAAAATTTCACCCATCCTGAAACTTAGATCCCATCTAGAAACTCCCAGTTTGTTTTCACTAAGTAGGAATTTTTTTGTTTTATTGGTTTCATTTTTTTCATATTCCACATAAGTGAAATCATATGGCATTTATGATTCTTGTTCTGATATATTTCATTTACCATACAACTCTCTCTCAGCCCATCATTGTGATATTGTAAGATTTAAACATGTTTATAGCTGGTCAGTAGTATTCCATTGTTTGCATGCATACATATACAAATACACACATACAAAATCAATGTATAAGTTATATATAAATTATATATAATGCATAATTATGAATAAGTTATATATATATGCCAAATGACTTATGCATTAATTATATGCATATATAAAATTTAGTACAATGGAAGAATAACCATTAAACAAAAAGACAACCTATGGATAGATAAATGATTCTTTAATCATTTATCTGAGATTACTTTATAATATATAAATAATTCATACAAATCAACAAAATAAAGATCTGATTTAAAAATGGATAACTCTGAAGACATTTCTCCTAAGGACGTATAGAGATATCCAATATTCACATGAAAGTTTGTTCACCATGACCAGTTATTAAGAGAATAAAGATCTAAGCTGCCATAAGATACCTCACTCCCGTAAGCATGTTTATTATCAAAAAGAAAAGAAACAACAAATATTGGTGAGCATGTAAGAAAAGGGGGGGGGCTTTTATAGTGTTGGGGGAAAGTAACATAAATGTCATGTGCTTTGCTATAAAACTTCTGAGTATTTATCCAAGAACTAATTTTAAAAGATAAAAACAACCTTTCTTTCATTCCAGCATTATTTGCAATAAGCAAAATACAGAAACAGCATAAGTATCCACAGAATACTTCGTTTTCAACTAGGATATAGATACAATAACACTAAGTGGGTAATATATTTAAACACCTCTCCATTGATGGATATTATTTATTTTCTTATTTATTGCAAAAGGTTCTCATTGTATAGCTTAAAAGGTGTGCATTTGTTCAATTATTTTATAGATAACATAACACTTTGGTTAGTCAGTTGGAGGTTAGACATGTGTTAATTTTATTTAATTTTTATGGTTTTAAGATATATTTATGCATATAAGACCTAGGGTGTAGCCCAGAGGTGCATGGGGAGGAGGAGAGCAGTGAGAGGATTTACCAGAGAGAGAGAGGGGAGCAGAGCAGGAGGCTCTTTCATTAACCACAATGTAGAATTAATATTTTATATATTATACATTTTGCATTCTAAGGAGTCACACCAATGTGTGGCATTCCCAACACTATAAAATGAAAGTTCTTTCTACAAACAGATTCTAACAGTGAATGCCATTCAAGTTTTGTCAAACTGATGTATACCCACCATCTTGGTTCCCTGGGGAGGCCTGCTGGAAACAAGACTTCTAAACTATGTCTGGAGGGCTATGGTCCAAAGCCATTTTTGCTGGTTGCTAGTGGGGTCTCCAGAATCAGAGGGAGCATACCGCTCTTCTTAAAATTGAAGGTGTTTATGTTCCAGATGAAATGGAATTCTATGTAGGCAAAAGATGTGCTTATGTATACAAAGGAAAGAACAACACAGTGACTTCTACTGGCAAACCGAATAAAACTAGAGCAATCTGGGGAAAGTAACACCTGCCCATGGAAACAGTGGCATGATTCGGACAAAATTCCAAAGCAACCTTGCAGCTAAGGCCAGAGAACACAAAATCTGTGTGATACTGTACCCCTCAAGGATTTAAACTTACAGATAAGTCAATAAAAGTGGATTTGTTCTTGAAAAATATATTAAATTTCATTAAATTTGTATTTATGATTTTATTGAAGCTGAGTGTCTTTTCATGATTGTTACCATTTTATTTGATGTCTTTTATACTCATTGGGTTTGAACATTCGTGTCATGTATTCTCATTAGTCTCTCTAATTTCTCTAATGCAAATGCTTCCATTGAACATGCTCAAAGGTCAAACCTCCTTACATCAAATCTCTGTAGCTCCCTATGGGGTGCAGCCTGTAGCCCACCTGCCACGTGCCAGAGCACTGACCCCTCCATCTCTTTGGATTTGGAAGAAGCACCATACCACAGACAGTTGGACTAAGTTCCCATGCAAGGTAAAACATGCAACCTCTAGCAAGTAGCTAACAATTGATTAGTAATTACCACAAATGAGAAGGAAGCAGCCTATTGGAACAAGAAGCATTATTAGAGCAGGCAGGAAAACCCCACTTTTATGTATTGATTATGTGGACATGATTTTTAAGTAGCTTGTTCTTGATTTTTTTCTTGCCTAATATTTTTATTTCTCTTTAATCTTTCTGCTCTACATCTTATAATAAATCATTGCCACCTAGGCCTAACCTCAGGCTCTTATTTCTAGGGTTATCTGAGTTAAAAAATTATTTTTCTCTTGACCAATGTCTCAATTTATCAACTTAAAAATATCATTATGCATTATGGCACTTAATTCCCTTATATTATATATGTGATAGATATTTTTTTTTGCATTGTGCACTTTTCTACAGAATTTACTATATTATACCAATCTCATCGCATACAAGACAAATTGTAGATAGTGTGTCATTATTTCACTCTATAAATTCTAGATGTTTCCTACATTGCTGGGGAAGATTTTCTCCATCCCATGATTGTTTTAAAACCCTTACTAAAGTATAATATATTTCCTAATTAATTCACTGGGAGTGTATTTTTTTATGCTGATGGGAAGTAGAAAATGATTTAGACCCCAAAGGTGAATCTCTAATTTCATTTCCCAATATTTTTTGCTCAGCACAATAAAGTTTCTGGAATGCATGTCAGAAAAGTTGTGAAAGAATCTTACTCAAATTATCAAACCACTTTTTCTTTAATCCCAATACGAAAGACCAAAAATCATAACTCAAACCTATGTGAAACCAAAACCCTTCTGTGGATCAAATAATTTCCCTTGAACTTTCATTATAGGAAATTCACTTTCTTCTACAACCTTAATATTACTATGAAGCAGTATCTTGCTGAGTTACATTTTCACAAATTATCAGCATGCATTTTGTGGGGAAAAGGGCACCTTAAATCTGGATCACTTATAAATGACCTGCCACTAGACAAAATTGTGTCAGCTAGACACAAATATGTGTCCCCCTCCCCCTGAAAGGATTCAGCTCTCAAGGTAAACAGTGTGGCAAGTCCTCAGTGTGTCTGCACCCAGGAAAAGAAGTTTCCACATAAGGGCTGAGAAAGGCTCACTTTAGACAGAGAGCATGGAGAACAGCACTTGGGAGATTCTGCCTGGTGCCAATGCCCACTGTGATGTGCAGTAGGGCAGTGGACTACCTGCAGAGACCTTTGATGGGGCTCTATTTTCTGCCTAGCAGCCAATGTTCTTCCTCAAATAAGACTAGGAGGAAGGCTTTCCTCCTTGAAGAAAAGTAAAAGAAAGATTGAACATATTATGAAAATAAAAGAGAGGAATAAGTGCATGTGATAGAAATACTGAAATATTTGGGTGCCACATCCCCTCCCGTGGGGCCTAAGTGAGAAATAAATCCTTAGAGCATGGCACGGTCAAGGTACCGGGCACACGGGAGGAATACGTGGCCCTAGAGGAATAAAAGAATGACTGATTCTTGAATGGTTACTGTAACTTTTGATTTGTTTCCTGATTCTGCTGACACACAACATACTAAACCAAAGAAATGTTATGAACACTGTGCTTCCTTCTAATGATACTCTTGAAAGGAATGTAGCCTCCTCTGTTCTCGATACTGACTTAATTCTGAGAAACTCTTCTACAATCTTTAATTCTA